CTAAAGGGACTGAACAACACATATTAAACAATATAGGAAGGCTATTGCTATTTTATTTGCACTGTGGAGATTATTTGTTTCTAATCCATTGTACTTGTTTGAGCTTTTTTTTTTTTTAAAGCAATACTGTTCTATAAATTTTCCTTTATGGTTTTCAGAAGTATGATGCATTTAGAAGACTATGATCATAAAGAGCAAAGGATGTAAATCCTCTTATTCCTCTCTTGGAAGAACTCCAAACTTTCTCCCTCTGCTATTACTCTCCATTTCCTATGGCAGATTTTTGAAAAAGACAGTAAAGAATTATGTGGTATTACAAACATATGGCTTCACTGTGTTACTCTCTCACAGTAAATTGTCCTCCAAGAGCCGGGGCTGCAGATCCTACATCTGCTTAGGATGAGACTGTTTATCAGCAGCAGTTAGGTTTAGCCTTTGCTATTTTTGCCTAGACAGGTACTTTTGTAAAAGAAGTTCTAACTAGCAGTAATATAGCTAATGGTACTCTCTTCCAAACATCTTCCTGCCTACCTCACTATCCTGTGCCGGGGGGGAAACAGGTGCTCACAAACATTCAAAACAACTGCCAAAAGGGAAACTGAATGTACACTCACTGCTTTGCAATTTATTTTAATTATTTAATCTCATTTGAACTCCTCAGGCAAACAGGGCAATCAGCAATGATGAGATGTGTTACTTAACACAGCATAGATAGCATAAATATGTACTAAGAAAGTGTTAATATTACTTCTCTTGTAAACATAGTAGAAGGCAACCTAATGAAATATCTTCAGGTTCCCTTTAAAATCGTAACTGAGAGGTAAAACTAGGAAATACTTCAATTTCAAAGCCAGGTGCAAAGATCTGTCTTCATGGGAAGACTAACACCATTTTAAATACGTTTTGATATAAAAAAAATTAATACTGACTCAGAGGCTGAGATTTATCCTGCTTAACTCCAGATTCCATTTAGGCTGTTATTTTCTACTGGAAGATAATCCTGCCCACCCACCCCTCATTAACTGAGAAAATAGAAGAGACAGGTTCCTAACTTGAATGGCCAAATTAGAAGGGATTAATCTAGGCCAAATGCAGTGTATGCATTTAGACAGGAATTACTTAGGCATTACTTGTCTTTGGCAATCTACCTAGAAGGTTACAGCTCTGAATAAAGGCAGTTTGTTACTCAAGCAAATGAGCAGTTTATGTCTAGCGTAAGATATAGGGGTATGGACAAGAAAACAAATGAGAGCCTGGTTTTGCTTCTCTAAGGCACCAAGCATAAGATCACTCTCCACTTAATGGCTTCTTAATGGTTAAGTTTATTGGAATTAGTAGGTACAGTATTAACAATTCATACTACTCGTAACTACTCTCCTTGTTATTTCATATACATCAAACAGAGGCTATTTCAATTTCTGTATACATTTTACGGATCAAGCAAAACAATAAAACAGTTGAGTGAGCACAAAGTATAAAATCGGAACATAAAAATAAGGCAAGTGTGATAAAAGCATTAAGCTTAGTAGTCATTCACTAGAAAAATAGATTTTGCTGCCAGGTTTCCTCTGAAACTTTTAACAAGCATATTGCAAATGAGAGAATAGAACTTAACTCCAGTAAACATACTCCTTCAAAGCACTATTATGTTACTTTTAATGTCAATTTGAAAATAATCTAGCAAGTCAGTTGACAGAAGTATTACCCCAGCAATAATTAAAAAAATATATAGAAACAAATAAACCCCGAAATTTTTCTTTGGTTAAATGAAAGGCTGAATGGAAAAACAAATCATAATATGTTTCCATATGGAAAAAACCCAATCATTTTGGCTAAGATGTAACAAACAAGTATGAAGTCTTATACAATTCAACTACAAAAATGAACTTGCCAACAGTAAATTTAAACTCAGTTTCAGTAACAAGAATTGTTTAATGCATTAGATATATACAAACTGGGTAAGAATAATAACAAGATTTCAAAACTATTTAAAACCAGTGGAGAAACATTTTTCAAGGATATTGCTTCCAACGCAAGATGTATCACTTGTTTTTTTCCACCTGTGCAAGTGCTTAGCAGTGGCAGACTGTTTTCAGTCACTGTACAGAACTTCCTACACAAAAATTCTGAATGGCACAGTTAAAAAAAAAAATTGGCTTTTTTTCCCTACAGATTTGCACAGTCTTCCCTGTACACATCTTAACTGCAAGTCATCTCAGTTTCTGCTGTGTGTCCCTCAGGACCCCTGTGGAGTAACTGCAGGTCCTTCCCATGTCCCTACAACTGTTCAACTGTTTTTTTCCTCACTCCTTGCCCATTCCTAATCTGGGGGAGCCGTCACCTTTAACTGCAACACGATATGGCTAACCATGGTGAGCCTGCATGTGCCACATAGCTCAACACTTAAAGGACCTCTCTCCTCAAGAACTCCCCTTTCAGTTAAGACACCAGTTTCCTTCTAATTGCTCAACAGTCAGTGTGGGAAAGCTTTGAGGGTGAATTTAAAGCAGGATACAAAACTTATTTTCTTTGGCTGAAAAAGAGTTAAAGGCACACAGATGCTGATTTCACCATTAGCATCAATACTGATGGGCTTTCCCTCTCTTCCTCAGGACTGCGTGTATCAAATGTCCTGTAAGTAATCAATTATCTTGCCCCACTACTGGGTAATTCTTAGGTTCTCCATCCTAAAGAAACAGTCTTACAGCACTATCTGAGCTCAAAGTTTGGAAACTCTATTATTTGCCAATCTTCAGATGGAATCTGGCCTCACAGCTGCTTGCTTTTACTTTGGACCTATGTACAGGAGGAATTTGCAGTGACCACTTTGAAGTATTAGGAAAACAGCCCTTCAGGACTGTTTTGCAGACCTTATAGTCTCTTCCTCTAAAAAACTGGTAAGGCTTTTTTGGTATAGAAACCAATAAACTCTTGCATGAAAAGAACAATTTCATCTTGGAAGACAAGATTAGCCCAACAAATGTATATGGCTGAGCCTAACCATTAGGTCAATTATGGATTAGTGTACCTTATTAAAACTAATTTTGTGGATCCTTACACTTAGCTCTGTTGTTTGTAGCAGACACCACTAATTATGTCAGTTTTCTAATATGTATCCTTTAATACTATTTATTGCCCTTTGTAGGGGAACCCAAGGTTTAAAACTAAGCAGACATATGATTAATAAAACCACCTATCAATATGAAAAGCTTTTTACCAACCTAAAAACAAACAGGAAACCCTTTGCAGACATGGCAAGCACAACATGCTAGAGGCAGGTCAAGACAAAACAATAGTTACAGAAGCCAATTTGACCACATTCTAATAAAGTCCTGACAGGAGAAACACATCATAGATGTAAAATCCATTCTTAATCCAGGTTTTACAGTTCCTGCTTGACTTCAGTGCAACCCTTTTTTGCTAACACCAAAAAATATCTTAAGCCTGGCTGATGTTGGCCAAGACTTCATATCACAACTTCAGTATCAGACAGGAATGCTCCGTGAATGCAGAAATAAGTTGTTACCATTTCTGCTTAAAAGGTGGTCTTTTTTCCAGATAGTACCTAGCCTCCTTTTTGTTGCAAGAGATACTAATCCTGCTTTATTCAGAATCTAATTCTTAGATCTATTTAAGCTTACTCTTTTTCACTACTGAAACAGCTACAAAAATTGTTTCAAACAATATACAGAAGTAAGTCTTTCCAAACTGCAAACCATTTACTTGGTACAACAAAATAACTTTATAGCAATGATAAATTTACATGAAAAGCTGTAAATGCATTCTGGCTTTTACAGTGCATAGAAACTTCAAGGCAAAATACAATAAACACAGTATCTTACAAAGGGAAATCTTCATCAGTGCTCAGCCCTTACACAGTCAATCACTTAATTGTGATCATTTTTTACCTGGCCTTTAACTTGTCATTTTAAAGACACAAAATAAACAATGAAAACAAAAAACCATACATCAGACTGGATTTTGTCCCCTCATCTCCAACAGCTAATGCTAGGCTTCCTGTTATTTTCAAATCCATAAGAACAGTAAAATCAGAAAAATAAAGGAAGGGAATTAAACCTATTTTCTGTATTCCTTTATCTATGTTCAAAGAAAAATGACCAGTTTGAGGAAATTCTGTTTAGATGTCTTTTCCTTTCATTTCCCTTGGGAGTTTGCAAATGCTGCCTGCTTTTTCCTTACATTTTTATTGAGAAAAGAAAGTATTCTGAAGACTTGATTTGTCCCCTTCTTAAAATTTAAGTTTTTCTCTTTTTTCTTTTAGATTAGCAAGAAAAGGCAACTAAGGCAATCAACTGATATTCTATTAGCTGCACCTTTTTCAATTGCTGATTGTATAAGTAAATGGTATATTTAGAATTATGGCAACTACCTCTTCTAAAGCAGTATCTTAAGTCATAACAGCAGTGTCACAATTTTGTGTGTAAGAGAACTAGTGGTACCCATGTTGCTTTATCGTAATACTCCAAAAATTTTAGCTGCTCAAGACCTACTCTGTGCCTTAAGAAGAGTTTAAGGAACAATACAGCATGCTGCAAGAAGGAAACTGTATCAAGTAGACAGGACGTAAGAACCACATAGCTGTATTTGTGAAATTTCTGCGCTCTGTAGAATCACAAAACTGGGTTTGCAGCCCTCAGATCCTGCAGTAATTTTACAAGCGTAAAGAATTATTTCAGTTTCTTCGCATATGGTACTGTATCCCCTTTGCTTCTTTCATCTACTCTGGAATAATCTAAAATACCTGATCTGCACAGTATGTAAGTATTTAGCCTATTCAGAATTACAGTATAGCAGTACATATATGTGGCAGGACATCCTCAGAAAATTCACATCTTAAGTATTCAGAATGTACCTATCTTCCTCATTTAAGTGAAGAAAAGTCAGAACGAAGACATTTTACTGCTCAGAGCAAACTGCAAACCTGTTAATGTGTAATTTAAATAATGATAAAGATTTCCCTTTGACAATTTCTCTTGTAAAAAAAATGGCTGTGTCACATTTGCTTCATCTTCTAGTAAAAGGCATTTTCTTTGGTGGAATTACTTTTTTGATCTTACAAGTCCAGCCTTGTAACACTTACAGGCCCATTCTATATCATCTGTTCACTCAGTGAATGCAAAGTTAGTTCCAATTTAGAACATAAAATCAAACACATCAGTCAAACAACAGGAAGTCTAATCACATAAAAAAAAAAGCCTTTTAGTAGTAAAATTACAAATGTTACAGACATCAGAGATCTAAATGCAGTACATTGGAATACATTATCATCTGTATAAAATAAACAGTTTCACAGCTATTTTAAAAGCATCTTATTTTCTTAAAGTGTAGAGGAGTTTACTTAGAAGCATAGTGGATGTTTAAAATGCGCAGCTGCATACTTCTGTAGCTTTGTGATGATTTCCATTTCTGCTGCCCTAAATCTTCTGAATGAAAGATAAACATATTTCCTTATAACATCAATTCTATTATTTTGCTGCTTAATATTTTACCATATTTGTTTGAAAATAAGCTTGAAAATAAGTTATAGTTCAGATTTAAAAAAAAATAAAAAAGTAAACAGTCCAATTTGCAAATCTGAATCCTTAGTGATTCACTGAGTATTGTGCAAAAAGGGCTTTATAAAAACAGGACCTTAGAACCACTACTGGATAAATTCTTTTGTTCTGGTTTTGGCTGGGATAAAGCTAATTTTCCTCACAGTAGCTGGTGTGGGCTGTGTTTCAAATTTGTGCTGGAAACAGCATAAATAACGCAGGAACATTTTCACTATTGCTGAGCAGGGCTTAGAGAGTCAAGGCCTTTTCTGCTCGTCACACTGCCCCACCAGCGAGCAGGCCGGGGGTGCACAACAACTTGGGAAGGGAAGCCAGGACAGCCAACCTCAAATGAACCAAGGGATATCCCACGGCATAGGACAACATGCCCAATATACAGAGCTATGGGAAGAAGGAAGGGAAGTGGGATAATATGTGGAATTAAAGCATCTGTCTTCTCAAGTAACCATTATGCATGATGGAGCCTAGCTTTCCTGAAGGTGGCTGAACAACTACCTGACCATGGGAAGTGGTGAATGAATTCACCAATTTTTTTGCTTGTGTGTGGAGCTTTTCCTTTGCCCATTAAACCGTCTTTATCTCAACCCATGAGTTTTCTCACTTTTCTTTCTGAATCTTTCCCCCATTCCACCAGGGGAGCGTGAGCAACCAGCTGGGTGGGGCTCAGTCGCTACCCAGGGTTAAGCCATAACACCTTGAAAAACTAAGTCACAGCAATCACAAGTACAACATGCAGGAAAACAGAGGAGAGAATATGCTCTTGTGAAAGTATTATTTTCTGTTTGTTACTCTTCACCTGCCACTTCTCTTTCTGCTCTTTAAAACAAAGGGTATGGAAACAATCTTCCTTCAAGTAGATGGCTGGTGATGAGGAGAAACACTACAAGCTGTGACATGAATACAAAGTCATTAATACCTCATCTTGAGACAAGAGATTGGGGTGCCAGATGCAGAAGGGGAATAACAAGAGGAAATAGCTACTGTGTAGGATTGGTGCTCAACTGACACACCATCCTCTAACAAGCATTTCCATCTGGCATAAGTAGAAGCAATCTGCAATTATGCTGTAAAGAGTAACAAGGATGAGGGTGTTCACTATATAGCTACCAGAGGGCTACATATCCTCTGCTTCCTTCTACCACTAAAGCCTTCCATCACCATCTATTACACTTTGCCTACTTTCCTAGACTCCTATAATCCCTTGTTTCATATCCTTGGTACTGTCACATTCCCCACTTGCATGCTTCCTCCATAAACTCACTCAAAACCCAAAACACAGCCTAAAAAGTAGGGGCTTAGATATATCAACAGTTATGCACCTCAGCACTTACCCTGCCAACTACAGATATATTTCATCAGGAACCAGGTTATTAAGCAAGTTAATCCAGGTCCTATTTTAAGAATTGCATAGGTGAACAGAACTACTAAACCACAAGGATAATGACAGCATTGAATTCTGAGGGACTGGACTCATTGTCTTGCTGATAATACATCATAAATTACTATATATTGTTCTATCTAAACAATGGTTCTATTCCTATGTTCCCACATTTAAAAAATAAAAATAAAAATCAAACCAACCCACAAAAACAAAATAATAATCAACAACCAACCACACTGGGATGGCACAATGGATTTCTTCATCCTTGTATTAGGCTGTTGAAGAAAAGAGTGAATTCTTGTCTCCATTTCATCTCTACATACCTTTTTAGGGACCAGATCAAATTCTTCTCTGCCTAGCTTCACTGCTTTCCAGACCACCATCTTCTGATTTACTATAAGAAAGAGATGTTAAACCCCAGAACTCAACTGTTTAGTAGGAGCACAGTCATTCCAGTCCCACAACCCAGTAACAGAATACATCCAGTTGATTTTCCCTCTTCAAACACGTAAAGTTATAAGATTAAAAAAAATTAAGCACCAAAAAAACCCAACTCTTGACATCTTTCAGCCAAGTAGTAAACACAAGTCAATTTCCCTCAAAACCCCACAAAGTTCTGTGCCTAAGGTGTAACAGTGACAGTAGTCCCAGAAATCATTTGCTGTACTATCATTTTATAGAGTGTATAGAATTTGTATATAAAGTGAATGCTTAAACAATATACACGTCAACTTCCTCAGAATATTGGCTGAAATACTACATAATTGCTTCTTCTGGAGTACCTACAACTACCGATAGGGTGATGGTCACAAAGACTTATATTAACAATATTCTAAAAAAAAAAAAAAAAATCTCTGAATCACTAGCCTCCTACCTAGAACTGTGGCATTATAGCATTATAGAGCTGTCGCATTATTATATATATAGAATTAGAATTGTAACACTCTAATTATAGCCTCATCAACCAAATTCAGATGTATATTAGTCATCATTTGACATAACAGACCTGAGAAGTTCCTTTGGAGTCACTCTGATACACAATTCTATCTTCTAAACAGCCAGTAGCTGATAAAACTTTCAGTTATTAAAATCAGGCAAAAAATACAAGGTTTAGTAGATTTACTTCACATGTGTGTATCTAAGATAGAACTCCAAAGATTTATCAGCTGATCAAAACCACATCCCACACCTCATCAAGCTTGAAAACATCATTTATGCTGTGCAGGGCTGCACAACAAGGGTGATTTTCAACCCAAGACCCTTTCAGTCAGTCTCACCTCTGTGCCTGGCAAAATCTTGGAGGAGATTCTCCTGGAAGGCATGCTAAGGCACATGAAAACCAATGAGGTGGGTGGTGACAGCCAGCATGGCTTCACTAAGGGGAAATCCTGCCTGACCAATCTGGTGGCCTTCTATGATGGGGCTATGGAACTGATGGACAGGGGTAGAGAAGTGGACATCACCTGCCTGGATTTGTGCAAAGCATTTGACATTGTCGCACACGACATCCATGTCTCTAAATTGGAGAGACATCAATTTGATAGGTGGACCACTCAGTGCAGAAAGAACTGGCTGGATGGCTGCACACAGAGTTGTGGTCAATGGCTCAATGTCCAGCTGGAGACCAGTAACAAGTGGTGTCTCTCAGGGGTTGGTGTTGGGACCGGTCTTGTTCAACATCTTTGTCACTGACATGGACAGTGGGATTGAGTGCGCCGTCAGCAAGTTTGCCGATGACACCAAGCTGTGTGGTTTGGTTGATACGCTGGAGGGAAGGAATGCCATCCAGAGGGACCTTGACACGCTTGTGAGGTGGGCTGGTGCCATCTTATGAAGTTTAACCATGCCAAGTGCAAGGTCCTACACCTGGGTTGGAGCAATCCCAGGCACAGCTACAGGTTGGGCAGAGAAGAGATGCAGAGCAGCCCTGCGGAGAAGGACTTGGGGGTGTCGGTTGATGAGAAAATGAACACAGGCCGGCTTCAGTGTGCGCTCACAGCCCAGAAAGCCAACTGTATCCTGGGCTGCATCAAAAGGAGCGTGACCACCAGGTCGAAGGAGGTGATCCTGCCCCTCTATGCTGCTCTTGTGAGACCTCACTTGGGAGTACTGTGTACAGTTCTGGTGTCCTGAACTTAAGAACATGGAACTGTTGGAACAAGTTCAGAGAAGGGCCACGAGGATGATCAGGGGACTGGAACACCTCCCCTATGAAGACAGGCTGAGAAAGTTGGGGCTGTTCAGCCTGGAGAAGATGAGACTGCATGGAGACCTCATAGCAGCCTTCCAGTATCTGAAGGGGACCTATAAGGATGCTGTGGAGAACTCTTCATTAAGGACTGTAGTGATGGGAACAAGGGGTAACAGGTTAAAACCTAAAACAAGGGAAGTTTAGATTGGATATAAGAAGGAAGTTAAGGGCCGTGAGGCACTGTAATACGTTGCCCAGGGAAGTTGTGAATGCTCCCTCCATGGCGGTGTTCAAGGTGAGCCTGGAAAGAGCCTTGGGTGACATGGTTTAGGGTGAGGTGCCCCTGCCCATGGCAGTGGGGCTGGAACTAGTGATCTCAAGGTCCTTTCCAACCGTAACTATTCTATGATTTTATCATTCTATTGCGAGGGTGGTGAGGCACTGGAACAGGCTACCCAGAGAAGCTGTGAATGCTCCATCCCTGGTAGTGTTCGAGGCCAGGCTGGATGGAGTCTTGAGTGACATAGTTTAGTGTGTGGTGTTCCTGCCCATGGCAAGGAGGTTGGAACTAGATGATCTTTAGGTCCTTTCCAACCCTAACTAGTCTATGATCCTTACGAAACAGCAGTATAATAGCGTAATAAATTTCCAAGACATATTCCCAGTTTATAATGTAACTGAATTTCAAAACTGGTTAAAACGGGGGATAAATACTAAAAATATTTTTCTTTTATCTATCACTGCAAATAGGAATGGAAGCATGAACACAACATAGGGAAACAAAGGTCACTGCAGCAAGAAATTCAAGAAGGGTGCCATGCAGAAGGACAAAGAGGTAAATGTAAGTGAAGGGACTGAGAGTAAAACATGCATTAGACTGGACACATCGAAAAAGAACTGCTAGGCTGCATCTCAAAGCTAAAGGAAAGTTAAAAAGCAGATAAAGTGACTGAGCTTCAAAGGCTTGGCTGAGGGAGAGAGGTATAGCTTATTTTTAGCAAGCAAGCTTTGCATCATCCTCAGGATGGGGAAGCCTACATGGGAGCACCAACACTCAAGTAGCAGAACAGCAACAGAAGTACCTACACCTGCCCCTTTAGCTCCAGCAGTGCAGCCATCCTTGGGCCCAGGGAGCTCAAGCTATCAGCACCACAAGAGGCACTACTCCAGAGGCTAGTGTTACCCACCAAAACAGGCAACAACACCAGCTCCCAGTAACCCAGCAACTACAGGCTTACCCAGGATAATATGGGCTTTGACCACATGCAAGTGAGAGAAATTTATGTTAACATGGATAAGAGAAAAATTTCAAAGACTCTTTTATAAAATTTCTACCTGAAAGTGATTTTCCTCCTAATCATAGAGGTTCCCTGCCCATGGCAGGAGGAGATAGGATGAGATGACCTTTAAGGTCCTTTGTCCTGGGTTCAGCTGTAGCAGTCATTTTTCTCCTTGGTAGCTGGTGCAGTGCAGTGTTTTGACTTCCGGCTTGGGAACAGAGCTGATAACAATGATGTTTACCCTGACCAAGGATTTTGTGAGGCTCATGCTCTGCCAGGGGGGAGGGGAAGCCGGGAGGAAGCAGAGACAGGGCGCCTGTCCCAGGCTAGCCAAAGAGGTATTCCATACCACAGCACGTCATGCCCAGGATGTAACCGAGAGTTACCTGGAAGGGCTGGGACTGGAGGAGGTATCGGTTGGTGCTTGGTCGGGCTGGGGGGGGGGGGGGGGGGGGGGAGTTATCAGTTGGCTGGTGATGAGGTGTTGTATTCTCTTCCCTTGTTATTTCCTTTATCATTATTATCATTGGTGGTAGCAGTAGTGATTTGTGTTATACCTTAGTTACTAAACTGATCTTATCTCAACCTGTGGGACTTGCATTCTTTTGATTCTCCTCTCCATCCCTCCGGGAGTAGGGGGAGGAAAAGAAGGGGGGGGGGGGGGGAGTGAGTGAATAAGTTGCCTGACTGGGTTTAAACCACGACAGTCCTTTCAACTCAAACCATTCTATGATTCTATGATTTTAGAATGAGTTCATAATGAGAATACATGGTGTTTTCAAAAAAACTGAAATATATTCTGAACACCAAAATTAAGTGCTGCCTAGGAAACAGCATTCTACACACTGGAATTTTTAAGGAAGTCTCAAGGAAAGGAATGAGCTATACCTTCTTATTCATCACTAACCCTCATCAACTGTATCAACAACAAGGTATAATTTTATACAACATACCAATATGCAAAAGAGCAAATATTTAACTATAGTACACACAAATTCTTTACTTACAGATGCTCAATTTGGTCAAATTCTTTTTCGGCTTCTGCATAACAGAAAAAGAATTATATAAGGTCTCAATTTAGCAAACACTAGGAAAGTTCTGCCTTATTATGTTATTTACTCCATGTCTAAGCAAAACATTTTTTTCATTTTATTAGTTTTCCTAGATTTATAGTTCAAATTATCTTGTTCCTCTGTTCAGTAGAAGCACCTGTGAATTTTTCAAAAAGCTTACTTTGATCAAGTTTTAGCCTGATTTTAATACTTTATATATATAATATATATACATGTATGTATAAAACTGAAAAACATATACACATATACATATAATATAGACACATATATGTATGTAAAAACCCCTATGCATGTATCACTTCTGTTTCATCTTGTACACCTAGTTTGGCTCACCTATACGTGCCTTAGGTTCAACCACCAACATTAGTGCTTTCTGGTTTAATGCATTTTTAACTTCTTACTCAATTGCTTAACAGAAGTTTCTCTCTTCAAGACTACCAAGAGTTACTTCCATGCCTAAACAAGTATAGCCTCTAGATTATTTTGTCTTGTAAAGAAAAACGGAATGACTGTATCAAAACATTTTCGGAAAAGCACTGCTTACTGAAAGCACTTTATACCTGAATTCAAGACTCATGAAAGAGATTTTAAAATCGAAAAATACTTTCTTCTAGAACACTGCATTATTTTATCAGAAAAAACAGATGTGGGGGGAAAAAAAAATAAATATCACATTGACCTTCATATATGAAGTGTTTCATGTCCTGTCTTTCTACTTTTGTCTGCAATTTCAAAGGAAAGCTAGAAAAGGCTTACCTGTACGTTTTACTTTTGTTGAATATATCTCATAACAGACAATGAGAGCTACTAAAATAACAACTTCAATCACAATTGCAATGAAGGGTTTGAGAGGTGCCATGAAGGACAGAACTTTAAGCTCCAGTCTTCCTTCACTTTTCCCTAATTCAAAAGTAGCTTCACACCAATATTCACCACCATCCTCCTTGGTGAGCTTCAGTATCTTCAGCTGGGTTATACTGGCAGACTTTTTACTAATTACATACCTGTCTGCCAGCAAAGACTCATTAATGACAATCTGAAATTAAAAAATACAAGTCTTATTAATGTAATGAGAAAGTGTCTAACCAAATTATTATCAATAGACAGTTCTATATAGAGTGATGTAAAAACAAGTTCAGAACAAGTGGCATTTGTGAATTATGTTTACTGCACCTCCAAGGGAAAGTATTATCTTAGCCGTCTGCCTGTGTTCCCTTTATATTCAGTGGAGGAAAACACACACTTTCAATGAGCAAGTTGCCTGACCTGTTTTAGTCTACTTAAGATCAGATGAAAGGTAGCCCTGACTCTACTGACTCTCCACTGACAAAAGCAGCTTCAGGTGTCAGGATGCAATACCCAGGTTTTACCACAGCACAAAGCATGTACTTTCAAGTTGAACCGGGAATGCTGCTTCACTGGAAATTATGTTGACAGTCTTACAAGCCAGTGCTACTCTCCAGCAGCAGAGAGGAGACAGATCTATTTACCTCCTCTCTAGCTTATTTTAGAAATTAAATGCTGCTTCCCCCAGAAAAGGGCTAGAACAAAGTGGCTATACTTCCAAGACTAATGGGGATCTTCAAACGTGGGTATGTGAAGGCGGGAAACTGCTAAGCAAGATTTTTCCTTACAGCCTTTAAGGCAAGAGCAGAAGTGAGAAGAGGTTTCAGCTCCTTCAGAATCCATCAGCACAGCAGCCTCCACAATGGGATGACCTCCTTTAGCTCCAGTGCCCCAGAGGCCATACAGACTGGGAAATACAGAATTACTTGTATATGGAGAAGGAGAAAAATGGGTATGTGCCTGCTCACCTCAAGCCTCCAATACCCTTCACGTCTTTAGAAATGTCGTGCTGTAAGATTTTTCTTGGTATCAAGCAGCAAAATTTGAAAAAATATGACTATTAATATAGTAAAATGAAATACCTAATGACCCACCTGATTTGTTTCACTTCTATCTGGTCTGTAAGAGTATGGCAGGGACTTTCTGGAAAGCGAACATCATAAAAACCAGAACAAAAACTAAATCCCTGTAATAATGACTGTTCCTAAATATCACAGATTTTTTTTCCCTCATGTACAGAGATTTCAATGAGCTTTAATATAAATTCAATTAGTAGAGCCTACAGCAAAAAAGTCATCATATTTTACAAAGTGTCTGTACTTGGATTTTGCCATGTTTTGCTTGGCAAACAGATGGAAACCTTACCTGTTTACTTCCATTGGTCATATACCAGGTCCAAGAAATGGCTGTATAGCCAGGACATTCACAAGTCATTACAGCTGTATCTCTAAGGTAACTGATTGTGGGTTTTTCTTTTCCTTTAATTTTCGGTACTACAAAGTGGGAAAAAGTTCATTATGCGAGAGCTATAAGTTTTAATTACAATACTGCAAAAAGATATTTAGGTATCTACTTACAGTAGTCCATTCACTTCCTTTTCCCTTAAAATACAGATGATTCTATCATTCAAAACATGATGTAAATGAAGAGTCTTTTCAGGCTGACATTACACATACAGAATTTATATGGAAACTACAAGAATCCTGTTCACAGTTGCTGTCTGATCTTAAAGGTTGCCAATTAAAACTGAAAACTGAGTGATACTCAGATTGAGATTTCTACCCTTGGCCATTTCCTCTTTCCTTAAAAGCTGTGAGCTACATGCTTCAATTCTAGTACACTAGAAAAACATACTAATTTTTGTGCAACTTCACTCAATCAGCAAAAAGTCATAGAAGTCTATTCCAGCCATAATGCTACAACATAATGGTATGTGGCAATGACTGCGTATGCAGGGAGCTTCTCTTTGCAATTAAGACAAAACAGACTGATAGAACTCTGCAGTTAAAAATATTCTGAGTTGAAGCATGGCTTTCAGGTGCATGCCAATATAAAAGAATGTCAGTCCAATCTTGATAACGAGACAACATTGCCAGAAGAAACATGGCATCCGTTCGTAACTTCAGAGCTACTTGTCCCAGCCACTATAACCACAGATGACCCACAGCCTTCCAACAGCAAAAGCCAAGAGTTGTTGAATATATTCAGGCATGCCACAGATATATTTGCTCAGCTGCAATTATATCATGCTAGGGTATGTATTTTCCCTTCCCCCTTCTTCCTCTTTATTAGGATGTTTACCAGCATGCTTTCTTCAGATCCATTTATTTTAAATTTTACGTAAAAGTTTCGTTGTTCTATCTTGTAAGTACAAATCCAGTACATCTTAAATTATATTGGTCACACTAGACTAAACAGGGCAAGAATTTGTTTTCAGCAGTTATGATGGAACAATTTGGTATAAACTAAGATTGTGCTTGTTCACCCCCCTCTTGATTGGCTGAGCAGAAATTAATTTTCCACAAAAAGTCCACTTCTTGTGAGCAACCAAGCTTCAAAATTCCCATTCCAGAAACAGATATTAAACCAATTTCTTAAAAAGAACACTGCTTAAAACCTCAGAATTTGCTGCACTATACATCAACCCAGCATCATTACTAGTGAAGTCTTCTCACTCCATACATATTTGTTTTAATCATTAAACACTATCCTTCCTTCTAAAGAGCTGTGACAGAGTACCCTCACTCCTGTCAGGTAACTGCCAGTAATTGTTTACACCTCCCTGGCAATTTATAGAAGAGAAAAAACAAAGTTAAGGAAAAAAAGAACTTAACAGGGGAAAGCAAACAGAAAACCCTCCTACCCAGCACAGTAGGGTTTTTTTAGTCAAAAAGATTTAGCCATTCTGATGAGTGGCAAACAAACTACAGCTACTGGCATACCAACAACACATACAACCACATTAACCATGAACAAGGACACAAGTATCCATCATGAGCTCTTAACAGAGTGGTTAATCCTGAATGTGCAAGGAAATATTGTGCTTTGTTCCAGATACTTTTGCAAGAATTTTTACCCAGCACTGGTGCTGCACAGAAAAATGTTGAGATCAGCAGACAGGTGATCACACCAGCATTTGCACCAGTCAAGAGTTCCACACTAGTTAATAAAGACAAGAGTTGTTTCAAAGCGCATATACCTGGACAGGTGCTCAAGGATCCCTGAACAAAGGGCAAACAAATTAATCTATTCTACCCTTTAATATAGCTACTACAATACTTCAAAATACCCATGAATGGTCTCCATATTTAATAATTTGATCTTCCTATAAGTACCTCATTGTTCTCTGCAGATATGGGTAAAAGCTTAACGCCTCAAAATTTGCAGGGTCATGCCATGCCAGAATGGGGAGGAAAAGGAGGAGAGGCAAGACATCCATAATGCCTAACTGCCTTGTGGAAAATCATTGCAGTTAGTTACAACAGTGATGACTTTAGCCACCGAGTCTATCAACATATTACTCATCTTTCAGTCTGAGATTTGTTCTCTCTGCATTACTGACTGGAAGATTCAAGGACTTCTCCTTCTCATTTCCGTCACTCTTACATTAATCTTAAAAAATGTCAAACCAGTACTTTTTATGGCACCAGAAGTGGCAGCATTCAACCATTATGAAACAATTGTCCCATCTTCTTGTAATAAATTTAGCAGTCCTATGCACTGTTCTGGAAAAGATGACTTCCCTATTGAGTCATTCCTGCCCTTACTGAAACAGTTACTTTCAAACGAATAAGGCCTCCTTTCACTTTTTTAATCTAAACAGAATTGGGTAGACATTCAACTAAACTTTAAGCATATACTGACAAGAAAAACATAAAATCATTTTTAGAGATTAAAAAACCTGAATAAACTACAATTTTGACTTTCTTCAATATTACAAGCTAGTCTCCCCTGGCTGAAGGCTTGAAAACAGGTATTGTTTCAAGAGCTGAACATACATGAGAGTTTTCTCAAGTTATATGAGCAGAGATCCCACTGAACAAAGGCAGCTTGCAGCACAGTGCAATGCCGTGCTGGTTAGCCCAGCTGAGGTAAGGGTAAGTATTTGAAGAGGCAGCAGTTTTAGAAGCCTGTGTTCAGTGAGAATCTCTCTCATATATATATATCATCCCGTGGACCTTTCACAGATCAAATGTTTATCTTGCTTTTTTACAAAATTTGGATGGTGAGAACGGAAAAGGCAATAGCTCTCATTAAGATATGAAGGCTCTCAGCAGCTTGTGTTTGTTCAATTCCCACATCTTACATTCAACTGGATTTCACCTACTACAGTTGGGACAATATTGTTGGAGAAAAGAATGTAACACAGAAGAAAGGGCATTCCTACTGCCCAATTAAACACAGTAACTTTTAATGTAAGTGCTGTTATTGGACAGAATGACAGATGCACTAAAGCAGTAATTTGGTGTTTCGGAAATAGAACCGAATTTGTTCAAAAACCTGCCTCCATTCTGCCAATTATTTGCTCCTCTTGTAACACAGAATCTCAAGCCAAACTTCTAAGTCATTGGCTCTGCTTATTGATGGATTTATCTGAGACACCATCCTTTCCTCCCAACCCCCAGAAAGTGATAAGCATTTAGTCCTGCTTAGGGATAGAAAAGGAAAGGGAAATCATTGCTCATTTAGGAAAAAAGTAGGTTTATATGCTCTTTTGGTTGCTAACAAGTTTTGTTAAAAAGGCTTCAAAATTCTTCTTCCCACCACACCTTTGATAGTGAGTATCACTTAGCTTCTCTATATTAGTCACTGCTTATCAAATTAACCTAATTTCCATACTATCCGGAAGCCATAATAACACACAATTTCAACAGTCAAGTGAAGCAAATGTAAAGTAAAATAAAACTAAAGTTAGTTAAAATTGAATACAATTACCTTGTAAGTGAAAAATACCACTGAGCTCTTTTTCACCTTTCAGGGTACAGTTGTAACTTCCCAACTTACTGCTATCGGAGACACTAACTCTTAAAAGAAAAAGAAAAAAAAAAAACAACACACAAAACAAATCACCAATCTGGTTTTCTGATCGTATTCTCTTCTGTCCTACAACTATTGGTGACGGCTAACTAACATTCTAAATAAGCAAAGAGATTAGTAGTGGAACAGAGAAGAGACACTGCTGAAACACTGGATTCAGATTCACTGCAATGTAGAAACAGCATGACATTTTTAAGGAAACAGAGAAGCACAAGCACAGCTGTGAACATAAATATTTTCAACCTTGATGCTCATAGAAGGCCAAACATTTTTAAGCAGTATGATCTACAGTTTAGCAAACACAAAATACTATATAATTCACATCGCAAACCCATGTCCAATGTAGGACTTCAGAACAGATTATTTAAAAGGTTCATTCTTTCTAAAGTCAGTCAATGGCTAGCACAGCTTAAACACAGAACATTTTTAAAGAGCTGCCACCTACTGAAGCCCAGCATCTCTGTCAGTAAACATTTCACAGGCACTTCGTACAAAGATTTACATGGCTGTGCTTGTGTGTACAGTGTAGCAGAAAAGTAAAATATGTTCTCACCACATTTCCCATCATAGAAATTTCAGATAAATACTACTGATGTTAAGAATCATAGAACAGTTAGGGCTGGAAAGGACCTTAAGATCATTTAGTTCCAACCCCCCTGCCATGGGCAGGGACACCTAAAACTAAACTGTATCATCCAAGGCCTCGTCCAACCCGGTCTTGAACACTGCCAGGGATGGAGCATTCACAGCCTCCCTGGGCAACCTATTCCAGTGCCTCACCACCCTCACAGGAAAGAATTTCCTCCTTATATCCAATCTAAACTTCCTCGTTTAAGTTTTAACCCGTTACCCCTTGTCCTATCACTACAGACCTAATGAAGAGTCCATCCCCAGCATCCCTATCCAGATACTGGAAGGCTGCTATGAGGTCTCCATGCAGCCAAGAGAAGGCTCAACAGCCCCAACTTTCACAGCCTGTCTTCATAGGGGAGGTGCTCCAGTCCCCTGATCATCCTCGTGACCCTTCTCTGGACTTGTTCCAACAGTTCCATGTCCTTTTTATGTTGAGGACACCAGAACTGTACACAATACTCCCAAGTGAGGTCTCACAAGAGCAGAGTAAAGGGGCAGGATCACCTCCTTTGACTTGCTGGTCACGCTCCTTTTGAGGCAACCCAGGATACGGTTGGCTTTCTGGGCTGCGAGTGCACACTGAAGCCAGCTCATGTTCATTTTCCTCATCAACCAACACCCCCAAGTCTTTCTCCACAGGGCTGCTCTGCATCTCTTCTCTGCCCAACCTGTAGCTGTGCCTGGGATTGCCCCAACCCAGGTGTAGGACCTTGTACTTGGCATGGTTAAACTTCATCAGGTTGGCATCAGCCCACCTCACAAGCGTGTCAAGGTCCCTCTGGATGGCATTCCTTCCCTCCAGCCTATCAACTGAACCACACAGCTTGGTGTCATCAGCAAACTTGCTGAGGGAGCACTCAATCCCACTGTCCATGTCAGTGACGAAGATGTTGAACAAGACCGGTCCCAACAGTGGGCCCAAGGTCTTCATTCTCACCGTCCCTGCGTCTGCCTTCCAAGACTTGGGTGGTGTGGTCAGGGCCTTTGCCAGTGAAGACCGAGGCAAAGAAGTCATTCAGAACCTCAGCCTTCTCCAAATCCTGTGTAGCTAGTTCTCCTGAGAGCTTCCTGAGGGGGCCTACGTTCTCCCTAGTCTGTTTTTTATTTGCTATGTACCTGTAGAATCTCTTCCTGTTATCCTTAATACCCCTAGCCAAGTTTAATTCTAACTGGGCCTTAGCTTTCCTAGTTACCTGACTGGGTTTAAACCACGACAACCTGGTCCCTAACTTCCCAGACAACATCCCTGTACTCTTCCCAGGCTGCCTGTCCTTGCTTCCACTTTTTAGAAGCCTCTTTTTTCAACTGAATTTTCCTCAGCAGCTCCTTATCCATCCAAGGAGGTCTCCTGGCCCTCCTGCTGCACTTCCTTCTGGTTGGGATGCAACACTCCTGAGCTTGTAGCAGGTGATCCTTGAATATCAACCAACAGTCCTGGGCCCCCCTGCCCTCTAGGGCTATATCCCATGGAACCTTACTAAGCAGGTTCCTGAGTAGGCCGAAGTCTGCTCTTTTGAAGTCCAGGGCAGTGACCTTGCTGCACGCTAACCAAAGCTATGCAGAAATCAACTGGAGACTACCTCGTTAAATATCTGTAGAGGGGTTAATTTTAGAGTCCAACAGTAAATAGTATCAACTGAGGAAGATTTCTACATTTTTTGAGTCTCCTCAGAGGTTATAAAGAGTTAAGAAAATCTTTAAAACAAAACATTTTAGCTGTAAAGCTGTTTTCTTTTTTGTTTTGCTAATTATGACTTAATCACTGATGACTTTCAGATTACTGCAAAGGAGCACTGAGATGGAAAAGAGAATGTGGAAAAACAGGGAACTTGAAAAAGTAATTGAGATATTTTAGCAATCTCAGACTAAGATGACTTAAGTTCTCGGTAATACAGTTCTTTCTTCATGCCTGTGGTAACTGCCACCTTTCTCCTTTCCTACAGCCTCAATATGCCAGTTACAGACATATATTAATCACTGCATCTTGCTCTATGACACACATGACTAGTGCTAGCAGCGTATATGCATGGGATAACTCATTAGAGCCTGCAAGTCAAACTGTAAAGAATGTTACTTACTTGATGCTCCAGCTGTTATCAGTTTTATTGGTATGACTGATAGTTTCATTTCCCCTCTTCCAAGACACTTGAAAACTTTTCAAATAAGAATACTCCTTGTCCAATATGCAAGTAAGTTCAACTTCAACTACCTTTTCCAAACTGATAGTTGTTTCCACAGAAGTACCAGAAGCACCTAAAAAGTTTAAAAACTATATTTACAAAAACCATTTCTTCATTGTGGAGGAAGAACAGATTCAAATTTGTGTTTTACATATGCTGGATTACAAGTGGATATATTGTGGTGTTGTTATACTTTCCAGGCTAAAACTGCAAAAATCAGACAATGCCAGTAATTTTCTTAAGCCATAACTGAGTTATGATACACATCTATTACAAAAATTACACTCATTCATTCTGTAGGTAAAATTCTTATGGAGTTCTAACATACAAACATAGATATTCATTTCACTGAAAGCAAGAGAAGACATTCTTCTACATAATTTAACCCAAACCAAAGTATACTAAGCACTTAGCTCTCGCCAGGGGCAACAATATCTGCTCCCAGTCTAAACTTCCTTTTGAAATTCACACGTGGTATTTAAAAAGCAGGATTTATTGGATTAAAAATAGTAAGCATAAGAAAAATATTAATAATCTCAAAATGTTTGACTTGTAAGTATATACAAGCACCCAAGTTTCAGCCAGTTGCATATTTTTATGATACTGTAAGACCACAGGTAATGTCCTGCTGCTAGTGAAGATGCTGACAAAAATCCACAGCCTTAACATTTTTGCATCTGGCTTTTCATGCTGCAGCTGCTGAATTTGAAAACAGATCATCTTCAAATTACAGCTGCCTTTGCAAGCCAGTACAGCATGAAAACATTCCAATACAGTAAAACTACCCGACATTTTTTATGCTTATGAAGCTTGCTAAAAGCAAAAGTGAGAGTATCCAAAAAGTAGATTGCAACAGCAGATACTGCAAGGGTGTTAAGGCACTGGAAACAAGTTGTCCAGAGAAGCTGTGGCTGCCCTATCTGTGGGAGAGTTCAAGTCTAGGTTGGATGGTGCTTTGAGCAACCTGTCTAGTGGAAAATGTCCTGCTCGTGCCAGCGGAGGTTGGTACCACATGATCTTTAAGGTCCCTTCCAACCTTAACCAGTCTATGATCATCTGAATATCTTGTATTTTCTCTGATCTACTCAGCCTTTTATAAATAACACACCTGACTTTTTACTGGTCAGCACTGACATTTTATTTCATAATTGGCATTTTCTGTCATACCTTTTAGATACAACTCTGGTTAGTCTATCCAAATACTCCACCAAAAATTATTCCAGGCCTCACCTCAACCCTATGCCTATCCTATAGTATCTGACGGTCAAGGGTACACTTGTATTTCACAGCTCACGCAAATTCTTTGAGAAAAACCAAGTTTTAAGGTACAGCTCATTGCCCTAGTACTGCAAGTCATACCTAAGCAGCAGCAAAGACTGGCTGAAGTAGAAGACCCAGTTACTCCCATAAAATATTTAAACTTCACTGGGTCTGGTACACACATTTACAGCCTGCAGAACAGCACGCCCAAAAATCCAAATCCCAGCCAAAATACCACAGATCTGTTGAACGGGGTCAAAGTTACAGGTGCAACACCTTAAGCTTCCATAGCAGAGGAAAGTCAGTAACTGCAACTCATCTATTAGAGCTACTACACTTAATAAATGAGCCAAGCATAACTCACCTTGTTGTTTACGACAGAAGTTATTTTAAAATGGAATTGGTTTCAGAGTAGCTAAACATTTACAGTCAGATTAATTACACTGGCTAAAAGCAGAATCTGTACTTTGAGCTTATTTAAAAACTTCACACTTTAAATGAATGGAATGTGAAAACCCTATGCTGTTGAAGGCTAACCACTACCACAACCGATATCTGGAACACCTCTGTACCAAGAGTACATGTATCAGAGCAAGAGATACTAACTTAAGCTTCCTCCTAGAAGAAATACGGTGTAAATGCTGTACAATAATGTCATTAAAATATCATACCAGAATTTTGCAATGGAATAATAAATTATCTCCTCTCATTGAGAGATATTTCAGTTAGATTAATTTTTCCAGTTGTCCAAGAAATTAGTTATAAATTATTATTATGGGAGCTTCACATCACCTGTAGGAAGATCTTTATCTTGCCTTTTCTCCATGCTTTAAATCCTGTAATGCTGCAAAGTTTACTAACACCTGCTGGTTAACAAGTACCCTAACTTATGTGGTCTTCAGAAGCGGTTTTACTAGTGCAAAGAAATTGTCACTTGGATTGATTTGGGGGAAACACATAGCTATGAGCTGGTTTTACTTGCTATTATTAAAAAGTAAGAATCTCATTCTCCACTAATAAAAATAATTATTAGAACGCAATATTCAATAATGCAACAAACATTAATATTTCCCTTTACTGGGCTCATCACATGCTTACTGTGAGCACTGTAACTTTATCAAGAAAGTGCCATCCTAGCTACTTCCGTAACTCATATAAAAGATTGTGCATAATCATAGGCATTCAATATAACATAACTGGAAGAGGAAAAATTACATACCAGGTAGGAGTAACTCATACTGCACAGAAGTGATACTCTGACTGCTTGTCTGCCTGTACTCTTTTGTGGCAAGATTTGGACCTAACAAGGTTGCAAAGGAAACAAAGTGATATGTTATGACCCCGTAAAGGTAAACATACTGCAGAACATCAATACAGTGCTGCAATTATTTTTTACAGCAATATGAGGGAAAGAAAAGGACCTTGCTAAATGCAGACTACTGTGGAGATCCTTTCACATACCTTGTGGATTAGAAGTGAGAATCTGAAAACTGGAGTGTTGTGCGGCTGCTGCTATAGTAATTATGTCATTTTAGAAGATTGTTTCTAGCTTTAATATACTGTAACTATGAATGACAATACTCTGAAGAAGTTGTAACAATCCATTATAAAGCCTGATTCAAAGATTACAGGTGGGTCCTAGAACTGTATAGAACTACATCAATGTTTAAGTACAGCTTGGAAAAGTAATAAGCTTTTTTTTTAAAAAAAAAAAAGGCAAAAAACAAAAACACCCACCCACAAAAAAACAAACAAACAAACAAACAAAAAAGAAAAACACCACCACAAACACACACACACACAACATAACCCAGAAGGACAGAACACTGCCATTCCCAAAGCCACTACAATTTAACAATACAGCCAAAAAGACAGAGGTAGGCTATCTAATCTAGATGTAGCTCTAATAAATGACCATCATCTGCCTGACTAAAATATACTCATTTCCTTCTGCAAAGGAAAACTGTGTTTAGGAAGTTTAATACAGCCTGCAAAAAGTCTTTTCTGTCAGGCTATGGATAGCCTACTTTTCAGGGACTACCTTTGTAAAACTCAATACGGCTCTCAGGCAGGCAACTTTAAGCATGAACAGTCTGTTCCCACTATTCTAGTTGTTTTCATGCTCCATGCATTTCCAGGACAGAGCAAGAAAGCAAATTGATAAACTACAGCATTAACAGCAGATGTAGCCCCACTAAGGGAGCATCATCCTTCCACATCTACACACATCATTGTTTCCTTAATATTGTACTATCTGCATACAAATCCCTAGTAAACTGAAACACACTGTGGGAGAAGGCATTAGAAGTTATGCTTAAAGGAAAGGTCAATTTAACACAGTTCTAGCAATTTTATTTTCAGTTTTCAGTTACTTTCTGTACAGCTTGAACATCTTTATCTTGGTAATTACCAACAAATACAAACCCTCCATAACCATTTCATATAAAAATAAAATTAAAAAAACACAACCAAAAAAACAAAAAAAAAAAAACCAAGGTAGAACCTTAGGGTAGCTGAAACAACCATTTCAGTAGAATGATGTGATTGCTTTTACCAGGTACAGACACTTCATGTTCAAGTGTCACAGGATCCGAAGGGCGCCCCTGCGTTTGCCAACTGACAATTTGTGTAGTTGCCATGGGTTCTGAAAGGTGACAAAAAACAAACCTGTTACCAAAAAAAATCTTTTTCTTTCAATTTAGTAAAGAAACAAAAGCAACAGAGATTCCTCCTGCCCCACAGTACATAAAACACACTAAATGTTTTTAGTTTCACATGCTTGCAATTTTATCGTCAATTTTATAATGCATTTCAGAAATATATAAATAGTAACTATATATTAAATCTGATTATCATACAACATTATAGGGGAAAATTATACTAGTTTTTGTAGAAGAATAAGGGCTTCATTATGTCTCCTATTCATGGATTGAAAAGGTGCATATTCAGTCAGGAAAATGGAGAAAACTGGCCTACAGTTTGATTTCTTACTGACAGAAGCACTGGGTGGCAGAGTTGATCACTGTGCAGTAAAAACAGTCTCTGAAAGCCTAGGTCTCCTCAGAATTACTCCTTCACTTTTCCTGCATAAAATACTGAAATTTGAGGCAACGTTCTAGAACATGCTTCTCTCAGCTACAATTGGAGAGAATCTGGCTGTGCTGAAGGAGGGCCCTGCTAGTGATTTGAATCTAAAGGTCTCTGAGCAAGCATAAGCACAGTTACCACATGCCTTCCTAGTTGCAGGACCATTCTGTAAAGCAGTGTTTTATCTGCATGTCAGCTCACAACACTAAGAACACTATGCCACAGGCAATCAGCCTTTTGCCTGGCTTGTTCCATCTGCACTTTCATACCTTCCCTCCTGCTTCAACAAGTAACAATAAACCTGTATATAAAGGTGGATGACGTTGAAGAACAGCTACATTTGGTTGTTGTTAACAGTAGACTTGTCAATCTCAGGTGCTATTACAAAATGTTATTTTAAGAAAAAGAAAATTATAAAGCTGTCTCCCAGCACTAGACAGTAAGTCCTGGTTCTCTAGGTAACAGCACAAGCAAGCCTTGATCTCGACCTGACGGAGAAAAACTAGCCCAAGTGTTTACCCCTGAAACAAGACATGAAGGCCAAAAGAGTTCTGGAGAATCTTTCTTTGCTTATGTGTGAAAACACCCTGTTTTGTCATGGATCACTTGAGTTTATCTCAGTCTCGTACATGCATCACTTTATTTGTTACTGAAATCTCTCATGATGATACATTCAGATGGCAGCAGTGCCAGGCCATACAGTAATTGTTATCCATCCACAAAAAACAAAACCACCTTTAAAATGTCCTGCACACTAATAGGAGCATTATACTGACTTTGTTTCTCAATCCATGTATAAATGAAATAATCAGGTTAGGTCACATTATATAAAATACTTGTGTATTTTAGTTCATGGAAGCTTTCAAAAACATATTTGTAGTCCTTTCTAGATCACATCTTTCTATACAACCTCTAGTGGAAGGTGATCCTACCCATAGCAACGGGGTTGGAACTAGATGATCTCTAAGGTCCTTTCCAACCCAATCCATTCTGTGATTCTATGTATATGTGTGCTTATTAATGGAAAGAGTTACTGAATACAATAAAACTGTAGGCACAATAACTTGTCCAAACTTGCTTGAGTTCATGTATAAATATAACTTAGTCCACGTTTGATAAGCACTAACCAACGTGAGCTTTGGTACACTGCTGAATTCCTGCTTCTCTGTGTTTATGAGAAAGGAGAGGTGGAATCAACAATCATCAGTTTCTTCTCCTGCCTGGAATTTATTCTCTGCTCCCTATCAAAACCACAGTTAAGGCCCAGAATACGATGAATAAAGTGCAGGACAACCAAAGGTTTTGACACATCCATAATTAAAAAAAAAATAGAGGAAGATAGCAGCAAGGTGCCTGGCATTATTAACAGAATCATAGAATAGTTAGTGTGTGTATATATATAGTTAGTTAGCTAATAATATATATAATTAATGCCCTGGCGCAAGGGCATTATTATACCTCTCACTAGCCCAAGAGGAAGATTCCTCACACAAAAAATTATCTGGGGCGAGTGCTAAAATAGAACCTCCAACAATGGTTCTAGGTTGGGAATTATCCCATCTCCAGAGTCATTGCCTTCTTTTATCACATATACGCATAAAGGCAACAGATCACACAATTAGCAGTTAGACAGCTTTTTCCGGTCCTCAAGATGCTTACACCTTAGCTCTTGCAGTGGCTTTAAAAGACGTAGATTACATATTTACTTCTCTTCCCTCTGAAAAGTCACAATCTTATTTGAAAGACTTTAGTATAAAAATGTAAACTCTACACCATAACTTAGTAGCACTAGGAAAATGTATTATAGCTTTAGGTGTATTGAAATAAAACGATTACCAAGAAATGACTCATTAAGTTCATTCTTCATATTAGTCAAAGAGTTTGCCTGAGACTGACTGCTTGCATCTTGTGTTGTCATAGCTGGATCTAAAGAAAGAAAAAAGGGTTTAAAGAAACTTTACTCTCCCTAAGTTGAACTAAGTCAGAACCATCTAGTTAATGAAAATAATTAAAACAGAATTTCGTCACCACAGCCTACTACCTACATTTTCCCCAAAGTTCTGAACATATAAAGCCAAAGTGTGCAAGAACTACTTTTCATTATTTCTTTAGCTTACTTTCTGCAAGAAAAGATTAAAGAACTGAGCAGTATTTGACCTCTAATTTCTGCAGACATATCTCTTCCTGTAGCTAGCCTATAGTCAGGCAAAACCATTCTTCAGGATAGTCCACCAGGTCAATAAACTTTACAAGCTGTACTTATTCTGTCTTGTTTATGGGTTTAGACTACCATGTTTTATGACACTAACACTAGTTGGTTATTTTTAAACAAAGATTAGCAGAATTCACTAATAGAATAAAGACCTCATTACAACCTTACACATCTAGCCTGTTTTGTGATGCAGTGAAAAACTCCCTTTCCTACTACTATTACCCTGGTGAGCAAAAGCAAAAGTATTTATCTTAAATATGGAGTTCAAGTAGTCATAATGACTATTTCCATTTATCACCACTGCAAACCTGATACTGTTCTTGTAATACAGCTTTTGCAAGAGCCAGGCAAGACTCTAGGGTTTTGCTTTATGGTCTTGACTGGAGAAAGGACAGGGGAAGAGGCACAAGACTTGCTTAGCTTAAGCATATTGCTGCATCGCCCTTCTATTAAGAATTAAAGGTCCCTAGTTGTTTTACAAAAATCAAGATATTTATCCCTTCCTTTCTGTTCCCACATCTGGGTGGCAGAACTAGCTATTATAAAATAAATGCTACTACCTTCAGATGCTTATGTATTCCAGGACATATTCTACTGCCATAACAATAGGACACACTTGTTCTCAAACTCAGAGCAATCTAACATTAGTAGCTTAAGTGGTTTGGCTGGTACCCACACAGAGAAAAAAGGACATGTGCTTTGCATTTGTAATTAAAGTCTGGCAGGGGTAATAATCTATGCTAGACATCCAAGACAGCAGCAAGTATAGATGGAAAGTCAAAAGCTACATCATACTTTAAAGTGTGCCCAAGCTTGCCGAGAGCTGCCTGCCTTCAGCAGAAGGTAAAGTCAGCACCCCGCCAGTTCCTACAAGTGATCAACACTACTAACACTCCTGCCTCATTTCAGCACGATGGGCATAGACCACCTACAGACTCTTCCACTGGCATCTCCAGCACGCAGTTACTTGAGACATCAGTCATGACCAGCTTGCAGCATCCGCTTTCTCAATCTGCCTCAAAAGTAAAACAAGATAGTCAAATAATATTATTAAAAATTTAAGCATTAGCAGTTCTTAGTAACAGGCTCTTAATTCTTCATACTTCTCCACACCAATCCACTGGTCCTATAGCCAAGTGTTCCCTCACAGCGCTTCACCTAAGCAAAAAACTTAATAAATCTGCTCTGGCTATCTGCTCACTTATGACCCAGCCAGCAAGAAGACCAAGTCTTACTATCTTCTTAACAAAGCTGCTGAGAGCACGGAGAGCCATTATGCTTCCAATATTCATGGTAAGGTTGAAGAAAGGTCCATGAATTTTTATATCTGTAGCATCTTGAGGCATTCTAAAGATGTCATGGATCACCTGACTGTCAGCTCAGTAGATGCATCACCTGCACAGTAATTAAAATCCCAAAAGATGATTAATTTAGGAGATGCTAGAGCCAAGCTATACAGCAGCTCTGTTATCGCTCTGCAAGGAACGCAGATAACCTGCAACGTGTTTTGCATACTAATACGGTTCTCATCTTGGCTGTCTTCCTTGATTCATGTACCAAGTGAACAGTTCAAGTAGCATTATTTCTAGTCCACATCTTAGCTCTTATCTGTCCACATGTCAAACTACATAACAGAGATAACATTGCACTGCTCTTGTCCTTTCATACACACCTGCTGAATAGCATCAGAAATCAAGACAACCCAGCATTGCATGCTTAGGGTCACCAAGTCAGGCAGTAATGTAAGCAAGTGAAACAGAGTAACTTCTCAAACTACTGAGTCATGGCTGCATACCTTCGCCTACAATTGATGTGCATTAGATTTAATCAATAGTGTGGTGGCTTGCTATTCTCTTGGTGCCCTGATCTTTATGCAGGAAGGAGCTGCGGAGAGTATGAGGTCATTAATTTGTTTGTTCTGCCTTACCTCTGCTCTATATTGCAGCCAGTACTTGAGGGATAGAGTGTAGATGTATCACCAGAGCAGTTATCACCAGAGCAATTTCAGGCTTTAAAATCTATTCATTCTTTTTCAGCCAGAAAAGCAGCTGAATAGAAAAGCACTGAGATATAATTTGGTTTAATTTAACATCATCAATTTAATGTTTAATTTTATGCCAATTTATTTCATACCAATTTCACAAGTCCATGCAAGCACACAGCATTCACTATCCAAAACCAGCCACCAGAACCTCTCAATACTCCTAGGAAAGGTAAAAGCTGCATGCTGAGTGCTCCTGAAAGCAACAAAGGATTCACATAAATAAGACTCCCAAATGCCCTGAGATACAAGCTCTTCCCTCAGGACAAACCAGAAAAATCCAACCTGGAAGCCAAGTCTTTAAGAAATTAGGTGCATCCTCTACTCCTGTAACTCCTTAGTATCTTTACAGGCAGAAGCTGGGAGATGAGATGTGGGGGGTTTGCTTTTCCTCAAGGAATGCTGCAACTAAACTAGGCAACCACAAAGGCTGCCTAATGAAACAGCAAACTCTGAAGAAAAGTGTTGTGACACCACCCTCCCTTAGAAATTACTCTCAATTCAGTACAGATTAAGAGTGGTGGTTTTCTTTTTTTCAAGCAACAGAAGAAGAACTCTTCTCAAGCTACTTATCAAAATAAAATCGAAGAGGCCTCTTGTGGTTTCTGCTTGACCAGCTGCAGAAGACTACGCAACCCAGCTTTCTGCAACTGGCCTTGTGCACTTACTACCCCCTCTGGTTGTTTCTACTGCAAGCACTCCTTTTGCCTGAAGAAGTCTGCTGAACCCCCACATCCCCTGAACGCATACCGTTTCTGGACTTCACAGGAAGGCAATTTTAGTTCTCCACCCTCCAAAAGAACATGATATTCCCCTTTACTGCACGTGTGCTGATAGCCCCTGCGCCTGACAAGCTTTTTGTACATTTGGTTAATAATCAATGAAAGCTTAAAACACTCTTCCTCACATTTAAACCACCATGGAAATCACCACGGTAGGAAGTATGAAGCCTTCCTACCTAGTTTATACAACTATAAAAGCATTTAATATAAATCTGAAAAACAACAGCCTCTATACAGATAAAGGGTACTAATGCAGGTGGCTTATTTCTGAAGTTTGCTCAAAGCCAGACATGATATCCACCACTTCAGGAAGGTACGACTCTGGAAATTTTGGAAACACAAATACGACTTTGTTGGGTTGGGTTTTTTTGTGTGGCTTTTGGCCTTTTTAAAAAAAATATATATTTTGTTTGTTTTCGAGAAGATTATGTATCACTGATGTGTTTACATGAACTTAGAACTGCTTCAACTACCTTTAGGTAGTTTTCAGCAGTAGCAGTCACCAACATGTGGCTAACTTGCTATAATGTGACTCATGCTCCTACAATTATCAGGCCATTTACAGTCACAAAACATTTTGATTAATGAAATAAACTGAAAGGACTTAAACCTTTGTATGCATAAATATACTTGTATTTTACAGCTTAAGAACTACAGATTTTCCTCTGCTTGCATACATAAATATATGTATTTTAAACAAGCCTTAATAAGTGTAAAACACATTTTGTGTCCTTATATATTCATAAAAATCATATTTATGTATTATATGAAACTACTGTAAATTCTACAGAAGTTATCATACACAGGGAGTAGTACTGCTTCTCTTAGAAAAACCAACAGAGGCACAAAAACTTGTGTTGGTATGTAATTGCTTATATATCACATGCTGAAAATGCAGCTAAACCACTGACAGTGAACTGAAATCTCAGCAATAATGTTCACATACATGCACTGGCAGAACTTCCTACCCTGACAAGACACACTCCAACAGTCACGTCTTGCACAGAAGACATTAGCAATCTGATATTTCCTTCCACTACCATTCTGTACTACTCTGCAATGCTCCAAAACCAGCAATTAACAGAAATACACTAGCTTTAGGGAAGGAGGGAAAAAAAAAAAAAACACAAAAAAAAAAACCACAAAAAACCCACCAAACTCCTATTTCTGTTGAAAACTACTAAAGGAAGAACAGAGCCCAGACAGTCCCTCTTCCCTCTTGGATTTTAGATGCCCCATTTAAAACCCCAATCTAAAATCCTCCAAGGAACATTCCTCACAACCTGCCAGGCACACTTATAGTTTATGCAACTTACCAATTTGAGGTTTTTTTTCAGAACTTAAAACAATGCTTTACCCGATAATCATAAAGCAGCAATAAAACACTGTCCTGCACCTGCGAACTAACAAACCCTCCCGTCCGCGAGGGAGGGAGCCGGGATGTTGCCAGACCCCAGCCCCAGCGCGCCCTCTGCCCCTCAGCCAGCACCGCGCCGACCACCATGTTACCGCCAATTAGATGGCGACAGGGAGGGGGTCCCTACTGCCAGCAGACCTATAAGAAACCCAAGCACGTTTATGAAACTAAAGGCGAGAGCACGCAGAAGCAGAGGGAAGACGGCACCGAGGCGGTCCGACGCCGGGGGGGGGGGAAGTCGGTGTCGCCGAGAAGAAACACCTCGATCGTTTGAACAAGCAAGGTCGAGGAACACCCTCCTCGCCGCGCCACCGCCTCCTTCCCAGGGAAGTCAGGGGGCTGCTGCAGGGCAGGGAGAATCTTAGATCGGCCGCAGCTCCCAGGTCGCACCCGTGGCCCCCTTGCTCCATTCCACTCCGATTCTTAGGGCGGACAGGGTGGCTGCAGCATGGCAACCACCTACCCCAGCCCAACCCGCGAAACGAGGGGGCATTTACCTGCTGAGCTCCCGCCCGAGAGACTGAGGTAGAGGCAAACCAGCAGCAGCCCCCCCAGGCACTTCCCTGCGGAGGCGGCAAGCATAGCGCTACAGCCGCCAAGATCTGCCGCTCCCTTCGACGCACAGGCAGTTGGCTCGGCAGCGGTCACTGGGGAAGGAAGCCTCGAGCGGGCAGGGGCGGCTCTGAGGCACAGTCGGCTGCGGCACGGATCAGAACCAAAACAAAGCAGAACAGGGCAAGTGTCAGGCAACGACTGCGAGAAAAGCACAGGCACCACCGCTGCGCCTCACAGAGAGAGCATGTCCCCGCTGTGCTTTCTGCAGCGGGCGGAAGGGCGGGTGTAACCGCCACTTGGTAATTGGTGGGTGCTCCGCAGCTGACCCAGCTCGAAGCCTCGCTGGGGCGGCTGGAGCTGACAAGAGCGCGGGTGGGGGTGGGTCCAGTCTTGCCTGTGGTTGGGAGCAGGTGTTGCTGCGGGACCCACCTCGAGTCGAGCAGCCCTCCGGACGGCCGCTGGCTGTGGTAGGGTCTGTCTGGGGGAGTGTGCCTGGCGCAGCCGGCCTCCTGCTTTGGCAGGTGCTCTTACGGAGAGCCCAGCTTAGAAGGTTAGCCGCAGCAGGGCGGGTGGATTGTAGTGTGTGAGAGTTGTGGCTTTTCATCGCCGGGTTCGGGCAGCAGTGCCCAGGGAGAACCGTTCTAACAAACGTGCCTCAGGATTTGGACTATAAAATCAACTAGGTTGGAAAAGACCCTTAAGATCAAATCCAGAAGGCTTGGAGCCTTCAAAATAGTTTAATTGCTCAGACTGTTTGAATCTATATATAAGTGCATGTATAGTAAATCTTGTCATACATATAAGTATGTATGCATTTGTTACTTGATAAATAACTGACTTTTACAGCTGTCAGGGTGGCATTCTCTGAGGGAGAATCTCGATGATGAGATGCTTGCTGCCTGTTCCTATTAAGATACGGTAGCTTTGGCTAATGCAGAAGTTGGAACTCTGTATGAGGTCTCTATCAATGATGCAAAAAGGTCACTGCAACTAAGCCGATACATCATCTTAGCTCTCCTGTGCTAACAGAGCTGTAGAAGTTTATGCAGAGCAGAAATCAAATGCCCAGTGTGTTGATTTTCTAGCACTGCCCATGTTTGACGTGCTGCCATCCATGTACTCCAATACCAGTACAGTGTCCTTCAGATTAAAGTTTTCCATCATAAAATCTCCCCATAAATAAAATTAATGGCAAAAGACTGGGAACAGGATTGTTTTGTTAAGCCCGTGCTGCATGTCACAGGAAGCCTCAGGTTTCCTGCTGGCTAAATGGGACCACGTATAGATAGGAGTCTTTTCTGTTGTTAGAAGAATTAACGCCCTTCATATGTTTGTGGAGCCTTCTGTGCTCCAGCTCTAAGGCGGTTCAGCTCACGTACAAAGTGTAAGAGGTCATACATATGAGTAGTCAATGGACATTGATGACTATACAGCTGCAAATCCACTGCTTTTGAAATATAGCTCCAACCTATAGTTCTGTGGTGTGATAGTGCCAGTGTGCTCTAGGGAGGGATTGAACCCCCAGTTTTGTTAATCTGCCAGCCTGCTACAGCTGCACAGAGCAATGAAATTCGGAGAGAGAATCCAATTCAGATAAGGCTATTTAGGAGTGGTGGAACATGTCAGCTTTTAACAGGAAAAAAGATGGAACTTGGAAGCTGTTTTATCTGAACCAGTTAGGCGTGAATAGCCTCATCTCCTCGGGGGAGAAAGGAGAGAAAAGGGTATGTTGACTTCCTTTAGGTATGAAGGGGCTGGTTTGTAGTTAGCTCTCCCTGAACTGGGGGAAAAGAAAACCTTATGTTCACCTGACTGGTAAGGCAGATTTTATCCACCTGTGAACCATGTGGATGGGTTCACAGTGTTGGGTGAGTCTGTGTGGAAATCTGTGTGGCTAAACTCCACAAGCTGGCAGGAGTGGAGCTGTGAGGACAGCGTCATCTAGGACCTAGCTGTAATTCGTCAGTCCTTGCTAAGTGAAAATTATAGAGGTTCTGATGAAGGTGATTCATTTTGAGTTGCTTGACATTATGTCCTGTTTTATAGAACTGTCTTCTGTCTTTCCCACCAAGTCATCTTGGGCAGAGAGCATCAAAGCAGTCTGGAGACATGATGACCTTTTCAGGATTCCTTCTCAACTCTTCTTCAGGGCTTGTCCTCTGCTGAAGGTACATCCAACACATACCTAATTCTGTGGAGGGAAGAAAACAACTGATTACTAAACTTTTTCTGAGAGTGCTGTATTTTCCTATAATCATTACATGAAATGCACAAACCACAAAGCAGTGGAAGGGAGAAAGGCAAAGAGGAAGCAGAATTTGGAGGAACTGATTGAGCAAAGAACTAAACAGTTATTTAAAGCTTTCAGTGCTCCAGAGTTTGCAGTACCATGATAATAAGCTAGTACAGAATAATAAGCTAGGAATAGTTACTATTATTACATAATAATAATCCAGTGCTGCTGCTGGATTTGGTAGATCATTAAAAGTGTAGGAGTGAGAGATTTCAGAAATTATAAGGTTAGTATTAACAAACTATGAGAAAGTAAAATATTGGGGATCTTAAACCAGCCATTTTATTTGTTTGCATTTGGAAACACTGGTGAGTAATGAGGAGTTTCAAGAAATGTATCTCTACTTAAATTTTATATACTAAGACTATCCTGCTCCATCTGTTAACATACAGCATATTTTCCTAAGAGCTAATTCTTTTCTCTCACTTCCAGAGAGAGACTTTGACTTGTTCTCATATGGTAATTAATTGGCAAATGCGACAGTCATCTGGAAACAAGGATATTCAACATTCATTTGTTGAACCATACTCTGGTTTACAAGAAAACTTTTAAATGATACTCTGAAAATTGCTGTGACATGCTGATTATTGGCTGAAGAAAGATGTGGATAACAATTTGTACTTTCACAGCTACCAAGTCTATGTTCTCAAAGCCCAGTCTTTGGCATTCCTTTATTTCTGTTAAAAACGAACCAAGTAAAATAACAAAAGGGCATACTTGATCCAGCAGTTTCCGTGGCTGGATGTTTGCTTTTTTATAAAATCCACTCAAACTGTGAAAAGGTAACTAACTCACATGTGAGAAGAACCTGGAAAAGGAAGAAACAGTCAAAAGGGACTGAAAACTTCTTGAAGTGGCAGTTCAGATATGCTTCAAGGATGGTGCTTAGCAGTTTTCAGTATTTGAAGCTGAGTCATCAAGACCATACTAGTCTCTAGATTTTTCTAACATTCCAACAGTAACGAGTAGGTGTTTGTTTATGGGTGTGAATTTTTTTGATTGGAAAAATATCAAAATAAACAGTGGGAAATAGGAGAACCAGTTTAGATTTATGTCAGAAATGAGCCGTGTAAGCATGGCCAGGAGATAATTTTGCAAGGCTAGATAGTGACCAATCTGTATGGGCCACTATCAAAAAATATGTGCTGGAGTAGGTGCTATGGAACATCTCCACAAGTCCCCCATTCTATGGTAACAGTCAGGTTATAATCAAAAAAACAATGCATAATACATGTTTCTGAAGGCCAAAGCGATATACTGAGTGTTAGAACAAGACTAGAACCAAAATTGTATTGTCTTCCTCAAACACTTATCTTTTGCTTGCCCTCTTTGAAGGATTTTAAACTGACCTCTTATCTGGATTTAAAATTACTGGCCAGATTATGCAATCTGCATACTCTGCAATTGCCTGCTCTGCGATGTCTGCATTCTGCTGAGCAGCTGTAAATCCCAGTACCTCCTGTAACCTCCTCAAAGGCAATTTCAAAGATGAAGTATATAATCTCTATTGAGAATCCTGCCATTTATCAAATGCTTAGTGTCATGTTCTAAGATCGGAGCTGTAGATGAAACAAAAGTTTGGGCTGTAGTGCTTTAGAAACATATTTCTTAAAAATCTTAGGTTGCTACCAGTACCAATTTTTGAGATTGGCAATACTGATCATACAAGATACAGTATCAGTTGTTATTGTGCAGGATTTGCTTTTGTGCAGGGTTGCAGATGATGCAATATTGTGGCTTTGCTCAGAAAAGGCTTTATTCACATGGCAAACCCACCATCATCAGGAACTGGCAACCAGAAAGTCAGCCAAGTAAGATTACTGGCAACCAGAAAATCAGCCAAGTAAGATTTCTGGCAAACAGTTCTTTTGTCTCTTCTGCTTGCACACACACAAGCACACACACAAACACACACACATACATCCCAACCTGAAGCCTGAACAAAACTGACATTTTTAATGTAAATAATGGAAAAAATAAGTGTTTAAAATGCAGTTGAAATCTTATATATAGATACCTACAAGATTTCCTACAATCTGTTATCTTAATGTAGAAACTACAACTATGTATGCCACCCTATTACAGGGTTTGTTTTGCAAGCTGTTGCTTCACAGTGTGCAGAAAACATTTTAAATATCTCAAGCAAGACCACACTTTCGGGGGGGGGTGGTATCTTTCATTACAGTAGTGTACCTGGAAAAAGTAAGACAGCTTCTGATCTGGACACAATTTAAGAGCAATTACTCTGTATAATTGTAATTATGCTGAGTTTACACAGTCTCAACTACTGCTTTAATATCAGAAAGAATATCCAAACTTTAAGATCTTTAAAATGGTTTCTCTTTTGTGGTAAAGATAAAAAATTGTAAGAGGCTTTTTATATAAGGCCTGAAGATAAGACACCATAAAAAAGTAACAAGGGAAGTGACCTAAGCCTTAGTGATAATATTCCAGGTGGAGGGAGGTCATTCACAATAAAGATCGCTCCATGCATTTATTAGTCAACCTCAGTAAACTTTAGAAACGTTAACATCATCCTTTCACTTTCAATGCAGTTTTCCCTTTAGTCTTCATGTATTATTTTAGAATGAGGAAAAAAAGTAGAGAAAAGTATGTAACTAAACCTGTTATTTTTAATATCAAAATCTTGAGTTTTTAAAAGTTTTTATTAGATCTGCTTTTTAAATTTTTTGTCTCTTAAATGAAAGCTAAGGGTTTGTCTCGTTTGGTTTGTTTTTCTTCCTGAAATCACAGGACTCCACAAAAGGAGTAGAAAAAAGAAAAAGGATTGCAAAAGTTGTGATAAAAATGTTCAGCCCTTT